TGTAGTGCAAGGTTTCTACACACCTGAGATCCAGTTCCTTAGTGGCAATTCCAGGCTCTTACCTGCTTCAGGGATGTGAATTCAGGTTTAAAGGCAGAAGACTCCTTAGAGTGAATAAAGAGAGAGCCTGCAGCAAAAAGGCAAGTTAAGCAGGGCCCCTGATTTGAACCAGCCTTGTTTTTGGAGAGATGAGAAACCCTTGGTCCTAAAACTTTGATGGAGAGTAGATGGAGAGGTGAGTATAGAACTGGAGAAGGATGGTCCAATTCCTGTGAAGGAGACAGGGGAGAAGGGTCAGCGGGCTATTGGGACGGGGGGGAGAGATTGGTGATAGGGGCTTAAAAAGGAATGGGGAACAAATGCACACATTTAAGTAAACAGCAAGACCCTGGAACAGATGTGAGAGAGCGATGAGTAGCTGCTATCTATGCAATCACACCCCTCCCCCGAATTATTTTGCAAAAGCAACTCCAAGGCTGTACAAATACTTACAAAAAAATTCTTTTTAGGTGAGCGCTTCACAGCCCCTCGGGGGGGGGGGGGGGCCTGATGCAGTGAAACCCCTTCCCCGGGAGTAGAGTGGGAACGTCAATTCCACGGCGGCCGTGCAAGGGGAGCTGACAAGGCAGCCAGAGCACTTGAGGAAACGAAAGTTATTTTTGACAGTCCTGGCTAAAGCTCGCCACGAGGGGCAGCAAAGCTCGACCGTGGAAATGGAGGCGTTTGGGGGTTGTTTGCCAGGTGAGGGGATGGGCTCCAGAGACCACCCGAACTGGGGTCAGGGTCAGCCCAATGGGGGGGGTGTTAATGGCCCTTAGCCCAGCCCCCAATGTCACCATCAGCAGCCCACGGGCCCACCGAAAATCCCAGCCTGCAGCAAAGCCCGGGGCACAGCCCGATTTCGCCCCATAGGCCCAGGGCTGGTGCAGAGGATGGGGACACCCCTCCCCCCGGCGGGCACGGTGCTCAGTGCCCGGTTCCGCCATTTGACGGCCAGGGACCAGGCACCGGGGAGAGACCCGGGCTGGGCCCCCGGGGACGACGTGCCGGGGCTCGGCGCCTCTGGCAGTGGGGCCCCCGCGCTGGAATTCCCCGGGCCGGGCCGCACGGCCCCGCGTGACTCTTCCCGGGGAGCCGCCCAGCAGTTGCCCCGGCAGGGCGGGGGCGACGCTTCCCCAAAGCCCCCTGCAGCTCCAGCGCCCGGGGCTGCCTCACCCGTCGCCGAGTGCCCCGTCCGCAGCCCCGAGCGAGGAGCCGCGGGTTTGCAGCCGCTCTCGGGGCGGGCTCGCCCGGCTCTGTCGCGCCCAGAAGGGCGGGTGGGGAGCGAGACACGCGGCTGCCGAGCTGGTGGCCATGTCACGCCCTCCCCCACGCAGTTAAAAATAAATGGCGCTAAAAAGACCGGCCCCCCCCAGGCTTTCACTTGCGCTTCCCAGCCGCTGCTCAGCGCCCAGCTTGCGCCTGTTCCCGAGCCTGACCCGGGGTATGGTCGGCCCCTGGCCCCCGGCCCCTGGCTTGGTCCCAGCGCTCGGCTCGCACCCGCCTGGCTGCTCCTAAAGCTGCTGCTTTTCTGCGTCCTTCGCTACCCTTCCTCTCGCGCCGGCTGGGAGACATGCAGCCGCCCTGTAATGGGTGCCAGTCACTGTGATGGGGAAGCGCCTGCGCTTTAAACTGGGTTTAAAGACACCCCCCCCACCCCCCCAGTCACGGCTGTGGGCTCAGCTAGCGGGTCTGCTTACCCCTACCAACCTCTGGGCGCTGCAGATGTTTGCTTTTCTTGCACAGCCCCCCCCCCCCCACCCCGCTGGCTCCCAGAGGCCACGCTGCTGTAGGCCACAGCGAAAACCAATTCTGTTGGTGGCCTTCGCAGAGCAGCTGTAGACTGGGTGAGTCAGCCTCACCTCAGTCCCTGGAAAAATCACGGAGCAGGTCCTCAAAGAATCAATCCTGAAGCACTTGCATGAGAGGAAAGTGATCAGGAACAGCCAGCATGGATTCACCAAGGGAAGGTCATGCCTGACTAATCTAATCGCCTTCTATGATGAGATTACTGGTTCTGTGGATGAAGGGAAAGCAGTGGATGTATTGTATCTTGACTTTAGCAAAGCTTTTGACACGGTCTCCCACAGTATTCTTGTCAGCAAGTTAAGGAAGTATGGGCTGGAAGAATGCACTATAAGGTGGGTAGAAAGCTGGCTAGATTGTCGGGCTCAACGGGTAGTGATCAATGGCTCCATGTCTAGTTGGCAGCCGGTATCAAGTGGAGTGCCCCAAGGGTCGGTCCTGGGGCCGGTTTTGTTCAATATCTTCATAAATGATCTGGAGGATGGTGTAGATTGCACTCTCAGCAAATTTGCGGATGATACTAAACTGGGAGGAGTGGTAGATACGCTGGAGGGGAGGGATAGAATACAGAAGGACCTAGACAAATTGGAGGATTGGGCCAAAAGAAATCTGATGAGGTTCAATAAGGATAAGTGCAGGGTCCTGCACTTAGGACGGAAGAACCCAATGCACAGCTACAGACTAGGGACCGAATGGCTAGGCAGCAGTTCTGCGGAAAAGGACCTAGGGGTGACAGTGGACGAGAAGCTGGATATGAGTCAGCAGTGTGCCCTTGAGGCCAATGGCATTTTGGGATGTATAAGTAGGGGCATAGTGAGCAGATCGAGGGACGTGATCGTTCCCCTCTATTCGACATTGGTGAGGCCTCATCTGGAGTACTGTGTCCAGTTTTGGGCCCCACACTTCAAGAAGGATGTGGATAAATTGGAGAGAGTCCAGCGAAGGGCAACAAAAATGATTAGGGGTCTGGAACACATGAGTTATGAGGAGAGGCTGAGGGAGCTGGGATTGTTTAGCCTGCAGAAGAGAAGAATGAGGGGGGATTTGATAGCTGCTTTCAACTACCTGAAAGGGGGTTCCAAAGAGGATGGCTCTAGACTGTTCTCAATGGTAGCAGATGACAGAACAAGGAGTAATGGTCTCAAGCTGCAGTGGGGGAGGTTTAGATTGGATATTAGGAAAAACTTTTTCACTAAGAGGGTGGTGAAACACTGGAATGCGTTACCTAGGGAGGTGGTAGAATCTCCTTCCTTAGAGGTTTTTAAGGTCAGGCTTGACAAAGCCCTGGCTGGGATGATTTAACTGGGAATTGGTCCTGCTTCGAGCAGGGGGGTTGGACTAGATGACCTTCTGGGGTCCCTTCCAACCCTTATATTCTATGATTCTATGGGTGCCACGCCTGAGCCCGAGACATGAGCAGCGTGGTGGGGCTCACAGCGTAACGTGGGTTTGGGTTGACGAGCAGTGGCTGAAGGGAAAGGCCAGGGAGCTGGCTGCGCTCACGCCAGGCCTTCAGCACAGGGATGCCAGCGTGACAGCTGCACTGACAGTCGAGACGGGAGTTGGGACTCAGAAGCTTGCCATGCCCAATTGCTACTGGTCAGTGGGCAATCATTTTGGAGTTTGAAAAGCCACAGTGGGGACCATTGTCATGCAGGTGTGCAGGGCCATGCATTACCTTCCGCTATGCAGATCTGTGCCGCTCAGTAAAATGCAGGACATAATGGATGGAGTCACAGCAATGGGGTTCCTGAACTGGGGCCACAGCTGGTACACATATCCCAATTTTGAAACCAACCCACTTTGCCACAGTGTGCATGCACAGGAAGGGCTGCTTTTCTATGGTTAGGCAATCATTGGTGGATCACTAGGGATGCTTCACCAACATCTGCGTTGGCTGGTCACAGACATTGCATGAGGCGCATATCTTTAAGACCACAGGGGCTGTTCAGAAAGCTGCAAACAGTGACATTCTTTCCTGAGCTGTGGGTTACCAAGGGCAGTGTTGAAATGGCAACAGTAATCCCAGGGGACCCAGCCTACCTCCTGCTCCCCTCACTCATCAAACTCCACACCAGCCACCTCGACAGCACCAAGGAAAGAGTCAGTCAGCAGGTGCAGGACAGTTGAACATGCTTTTGGTAAGCTGAAGGGATGCTGTCATTCCGATCCAGTCTTGTTAGTAAGGAACACCAAAGATATCCCAGTGGTTATAGCTGCCTATTGTGTCCTGCATGAGATCTGTGAGGCAAGGTGGGGGAAGGGTGCAGCCAGGGCAGAGGGCCTCTGAGTTCAGTCAGATACAAGAGCTTAACACAGTGCTATGTGGCTGAGGAAGTGCTTGAAATTGAAAGAGACTTTCCTTAATGCGGTGTAGAGGCCTGTACTTTACCTGGCCCAGACTGTTTGGGGGCTGATTGTGGTGCTTGGTATACCTTTATTAATGAATGCACCTATTAATTTTGTGGTGCTTGCTGTACCTTTATAATTATTACACAGTTTGTCAATGCTCCTCTGTGTTCCATCAGCCTGCACAATAACATGCTTTCAATAGCCTTAGCCATTTCACAGCATATGTTGTGAAGTAATAAAGATGCATGTCTCCAAAAAAATAGATTTTTATTGTGTACCCAAACCAGTGCACAAGTGCTATGTTGCAACTAAAAACCAACTACAATAAAAACTTCTGAAATAAAAGAACAGAAAAGAATTTAACAAGGGGAAAGAACATTTATGGCTATTTCGGCTACCCTACAGCAACCATGGCTCTTGCAGGCCAGTGTAGGTGAAGCTGTGGTTTTCCTTCCTGTCCCATAGTATGGAGTGGTAGTGGGAGGAATTCAGCCCCTGCTGCCACCTGGAATGCGTGGGTGGGTAAGTAAGTAAGTAAGTAAAAGGAGGTGCTAAAATGGAGCTCTCCATTGACTTTCTAATTGTAGCCAATTATTTTATCATTCATTTATTGTGGGTGGTATAATGTTAGGATTATAGAAGTATAAGATTGGTTAGTAGTTGGAAGAGACGAATCTGTATGAGGTATCTAACTAAGTAGGGCTGAAACACAAGGCCTACAGCCTGAGGCCGGTATGAGTTTAGATTAGCCCTTAGAGTTAAGAAATGCTTGATGTAAGTAAGTGACTGAAGAATAACCTGATGTCACAAGATTAAAAATTGTAGCAATGAGTGGTATTGCAAAAAATTAGCTGCAAGATTAATTTTAGATTACAAAATGCCCTAGAGGTACTTTTTTTTTTTTTTTTTAACGTGTTCCTTAACCACTGGATACAGGTTGTGCGTCAGTGCTGAGCATAAAAGGAACTATACACAACCTATGGAAAACAGGGTACCCCAATATTCTCAGGGGACACAATACAATTAGGGAAAAGAAGGCTGACACTTTCACACACATGCACAGGATATGAGGTATAGTCAGAATCACATTATAAAAGAGGGTGCCCAGATTGGGAAAATTGAGCTCCCCCTGGGAAAACTCCAGCAGGAACCCTCCGTCTACTGATGATCAATCCATGAGAGACCCAGCAAACTCTCATACTATCTAGGAGGATATGAGTATGACTATAGCTATAATAAGTGCATAGATATAGTAGGATTTATCTCTGCTTGGATATTCATTGTTGGTAACTTTTAGCAATTTTATTAAAGAAGTTGTTCTAGTGAATGTGTGTGTTACTTTCCTTAGTCTTCATGTGTTCTTAGAGACTCTAGATCTGAAACAAGTGGCAGAGGGAGCTTTCACTCTGTTGAGCTTGAGACTGTAGCCAGCAGAGCCAAACCCACAGTGGTGTAATACAACATTACTAAATGCATTGGATCCGAAGGGGCATGTGGCTGCATCGCTTCTTCCATGAGGCAAAGCTCCCAAGCCGGGAACGATCAGCAAATGGAGCAGCAAGCGGCGATATGGTCTTTGCCCAAGCAGTGGAGGCAACGTTGGTGCTAGTCACTCCCAGTACTTAAGCGCAGTACTTAAACCTGTCTTGCCTGGGCATCGTGCCTGGGCTGGGGAAGAGTCCTGCAAAGGGAAGGAAAGTCCAAAACGCTAACTAACAACTATGAACGGATAACGAATTACAACTAGAGAAAGAAAAAAACAAAACAAAAAAAACTACATACAAGGAAAAAACAAGTGAAAACACAGTACACATAGCAAGCTAAGAGCACCAAGGAACAGGCGTTCCGACTCTGGCCATGCAGCAGTAAGAGGGAACTCCAGGCCCCTCTGTTCATGGTTTGATGCAGCACAAGCTTCCAGGCTCTCAGGGAATATGTCCTCCAGTATCTTCTTCTTTCGTCTCCTCATTTGGCTCAGATATTCCATGGGTGTGGTGGAAGGCTCCCTCAAGGCCACAATGGCAGCAGCTACAGATAAGACACACACAGGTATCATGTCTATAGTCACAACTGGAAGCAAAAGTTAAGTTTTGGAACCCCCTTTACTCGGTCCCTTAAATTTTAAACAAGACATGCTTATTGACACTTCAGCTTCAGAGTGCTTGTGCCCAGCACCATCGCTAGTCCCAGCCATGGTGAGTATGGCCCAGCAGAGGTGTGGGAGGAATTGTTCAGTTGTATGAAGCAATAACATTTTAGCCTATTTCCATGGGTACACATATAGGGCAACGACACTGAATACTGGCACTGTTTTCCACAGGGGGTGGTGATTTTAGCCGATATCTCGCTCCTGAGAGTAACAAAAGCACAGAGAAGCTGCTGCTGGTGTCCTGAAGCCATCTGGGCCCATATGCTGCTAGCCTGTTACCTGCAATGGTGCCTGACGAAGTCATCGCAGAGTGGCGTAGGGAAGTGTCTATGGAGGAAGAAATAAGGCTGCCGTCCCAAGAATCCTTCAGGAGAGGATTGCAGAGTGCCTCCATGAATGTTCCATCAAGGTCTCTCAGGAGGACTCAAGGGACATCCCTGTGTACATAAACAAACTGCTTCACATGGCCCCCGCCTAACTCTAGAGGGAAATGAAAAACAGACAACAACTCTACCTGTGTTTGTTGTACCACCACCTCTTCTAGTAAGAGTAAATGTGTGTTCCAAGAATCAAGTCTTGTTTGTGATGTATTCTTCTGTAAATTGGCTACCTCTCAACGCTACTCTCGTGTTTACCTTTTGTTTTAGCTCCTGGAGGTGGAATATGTCAGGCAAACAGGCTCCAATCCACATCTGTCCCTGACTATTTTTGATGGACACCATGTTGGTGTGAGCTCACTCATTGTTTTTTCTTATGGCCTTACGAAGTGATGGGGATACTTGAGACAAAGATCATTTTAGTTAGCCTCTGAGCACATCTGTTTATTGTTCCTAGCTCCTATTACAGGAGTACCTGAGCACTTAATAATCTTATTGTATTTATCCTCAACATCCCTGTGAAGAAGGGCAGAACTAAGGGGAACTGAGATACAGAGAGAGACTAAATGACTTGCTCAAGATCACAGAGGAAATCTGTGGAGGGGAGCACGGAGCTGAATCCAGGTCTCCCGAGGTTAAAGCAGGAATGACTTTCAGAGGTGCTTGCAGACCAAGAAATGTTTGTACTAGTTGGGAAAGTTTGCAACATGGCACCAGTTCTGCTGCACTGGTATTAGCAATATTAGGAATCCTGGAATAGATGGGCCACCAGCTGCCGACACCTTTCTAAACAGTGTCATGTAACTGCCCAGAACAGGTCTAAGCTGACACAGTGCTTAAAGCAGTTGCAACAGCCAGTGACTGACAGCAGGGCTCCTAACATCACAAAATGGAACTGAACCCATGTTAACAATAGACACACTCAAAGTCACTTCCCTGAACCACTACGAAGAATGGAGCAGTGGATAAAATAAACACCCTCTCGACCCATCTCTGATTTTAGTACAATAGCTAAGTGAATTTTGAATTGCAGGAAAAGAATGCTTTTCAAGGCTTCTAAAACACTGCAATTAATGATTCGTCTATAATTTCCTGTGTTCTCTGTGCATGTCTCCACTGCCCTCTGGTGGATGTAATGTCAAACTCAAATGTTTATTGGCCTAGTGGTTGCAGCATAAAAACTCTTAACAGTATGGCACAAGGAGGGGTTACCTTTAGCTCTTTATTGAGGAGTAAATATGAACATACCCTACCCAGCCCCTGTATCTATCTCAGAAACCTGACGCCTTGCTCAGTGGAGTTTAAAAAAAAAAAAAAAAAAAAGGCAAAATCTTCCCCCTTGCCCTTTTTGCTTGGTTACCTTTAACACGGGTTTTCAGACTCTTTCCCCCCCCAAAAGCCAGGCTAGTCCCATGAAGGTCAGCGGCAGACAGTGCATAGCTTCCTTTCTAGTCCTACCCTATCTTCCCAGGCTGCAATGAGCGAACAGCCACTTTCACTAAAAGAGGGGAACACGCCTCAGTCTCTAAACCTATTTGTATTTATTATTGAGTACAAGTCATTATTTAGTAGAATTATAAAAGAACTGTACATTAGAGGTATAAAAATATGAAATAAACTTTGAATCATCTTAGGTAAAACTACCATTTTTTCAAGCTTTAAAAACATGTAACTTGCACAATTTGGCATCTTACCTTGACATCTGATTTCATACAATGTAAAACTAGGAAACTCCCCCAAATGTAAGCTTTAGAAAGGTGACTGCATTAGAAAAAGAAAAAACACACACCCCATAGCAATGCCCAGTCACACAAGTAACCGTCAATAATTTACTAGTTTACAACACAATGGCACAGTCAGACCAATTAAAAGCTTCCCTGTCCACGTGATTTACCCATTAACAAGAATAGACAAATTAGTTCCATTGAAAGATGCAGTATAGCTTTTCCTCTTCCAGTTATTAAAAAGTGGTTAACAGAAAACACTAGAAGGGTTTTTTTTTAAAGTATTTGGCATGCTTTATACTTGTACCATTTAAATTTGATACCACTTTGTAGTAAAAATTAAATAAATATAAATATGTTAAATAAATATATTGTAAAAGAATAATACACATGTATTACATCAGAACCCAGCATTTCTTAATGCTGTTCACACATTTAATGCTTGTCACAGCTTTAGGGCCACTGAAAAGGAATACTGCATCCTTTCAAATGTAAAGAAAATGTATTTAAAAGCTTCACCTTAGACATCATTATCAATCCAGACATACAGGAACTCAGGTTCCATTGCTTATTACTACTTTCGTTCACCAATTAAAAATGTGGTCCATAATTTCACTGTTCTTTAGAGCAATTCATATTTAGATCCCTTTCCCGCTACAAGGTCACATTGCCTCTGGCTCAGTAACTGAAGACCTTCTTAAGAAGAAAGAAAGGAACAATTTTAGCCAGTTACTGTATCCAACACACCAATTGGCCTCTTTCCTACAAAGAAACTAGAAACGGACATCTGAATATGCTTCTCCAAATTACAGTATACCTTAGTTTTTAATACTGTGATCTAAGCCAAATACTGTCATTGCCTTTCTGTGAACATTTGGCTGATCTCTCAAAACCCCATGGCATGCAGTCTTGCACTTGTGAAGTAAATAGAACTGACCGATTTTTCCAATCGGTAATGTATCGGATGGCATTGTATCTACCCAAGAATTGGGGACTAATATTCAAGGGTTGCACTGATTAGTTAGAAATTACATTCTCTTTACAGGTTTTGGATATTTTCAGATTATTCCCTTTACAATCACTGTATTGTATCTAAGACACTGTTTCAAATGCAGAATATGGCAGTAGTGCAACAGCAGGTTTGGATGGTTCGCTACAACTAAAAGGCTTCTTTTCCAGATCCTCATGCCTAGTAACGATATGGTTTCAGTCACTGTGTTTGATTCTGTGCAGTAAAATATATGAATTATAAAATCAAGTACAATGTAAGTATGTTCAACAGCAGAATGATGTTTACACATAGCTGTTTGCACTCCATTTTCACTTTCTTTCTTAAAAGCTGCCTTAGGATAACTCCACCAGCTTGGTTCAATGCTTTTCTGAAGTTAGCTCTCATTCCTTGTGCTCCTATTGTCCTTTTCCTGCTTCAGCGCAGACACAACATAAGGCACGTTTGGAAGCTTGGTTTCTTCAAAGAGACATTTTACTCCTTGATGATCCCACTTGTCCCTGCTAAAGGTCGGCCAATTTCACAGCCTTATGCTTGGAATGTTCATCACAGAGAAGGGAGCCCCATCTCCACCCTCTCAAATGGTATTTCCTGGAAGTCTCTGCTCTGCAGAATCCTGACTATAATAATGCTGAAAGAGTCGTTCCCGGCTGCAGATTTGCATTGCTTGGTAGGTGTGAAGGAGAAGGCGAGGGAAACGAGACGTGAAATAACATACAAAATAGTCTGGGATAGAGCCCAGCGTCTCCTGCACTTCCAGGGGCAGTTCTCTGTAATGATGTTTCTAGGAAAAAAAAAAAGATACAGAAGAGCATTCTTTATAGGGTATTCACTTTCTTCCTCTATGCAACATACTAAAGAGATCCCCATGAACAAGAAGCAGTTTAGTGGCCAAAGAAGACTTACTAAATGACAAGTGTCAGTTTATAGTGGTGGATTGTTGGCAGTAAGGTGGACCACCACCTAAGATAAGCCAATAAAAAGATGGTTTAGGTGGAAACAGAAAGGGTAACATTCAAGTAATTTAAAATGCTGTTTATACTTCTAAAGAGGGATGGAGAATATGACAGGTATGGGTGGCTAAAGTTTTACGTGGTACAGATTCTAAGGTGGTTTGATGCTGGTTCACACACACACACCCCTTTACCTTATTTCTCATCGCCCGCAGAAGATCCCGTACTGAGCCCCCTTTATAGGATCTGAATTTTCGAAGATCTGCAAAAGCAAATAGGCTGTGTTTGTTTGTTTTTTTTAAATTAACTGATGTGTACAAAGTCCTCCAGGGAGCTGATCTGTTGCTATCTCCCATACTTGCAGCCAAAACACGTGAGAGAGCTGTTTGTACTGTTCTGGCCAGGTACATCAGGATCTGAAGTATTATAACCTTTTTCAAACACTAAAGGAAAAAAATCAGTGCAGGAGGCATATTGACAATGCAGAATATTAAACAGTTTGATGCATGTGTGACCCGTGTGATTTTTGAACTGTATCATCTCTGCTCTTAAAAAGTAAAATGTAAATACCGCTAAAGCCTGGTAAGTAAACAACGGAAAATAGGGCCTGAAATGGCCACACTCTTGTTTTTTGTGTTCTAAAATAGGGTTATATATGTGTGCGTGCACGCGTGTGTACGCAGGTGTACGTATATGTACTTTTTAATTTAGAACAATTCAGTACTTCAGTTGCAGGCCAAGTTCTCATGTAACAAATCTGAAAGACAATGGCATTGCTGCCTTCCTGTACATGCAGGTTAGGGATAATAGCTTGTAATTCCCTTACATTATTATGGAATATAATCTCAGTTACCTGTCTGAAGGGGAACCGTGATGTGCTCTCTCCAGTCCATTTTTACCACCTTTCTCCCTCCTCTCTCTAACTGCTTGACTATGGGACCATCTAGAGATTCTTTTTCTATTCGGTCACTCACATCCTGTAAGAAATGTTCAAGTTACTTCAAATGCTGTATTTTTACTTCCAACTCCTACCCACTCCCCACCCTCCCAATTACAAATTGCCACCCTCTGCCAGATTAAAGGGTGTCCTGAAAAATGGCTGCTTGCTGCTGTGAGACAGTACAATGTAATTGGACTGAACATAGGATTGGTAGTCAGGAGCTATCTGCTAGAGTTCTTTCAACATAGAAAACCCAACATGCTCACTGGACTGAAACCCTCCAAAGGGCTGGACATTTTCTTACCTGCACTGACTAAGCACACAGCCTCACTTCTTTGTTCCTTACATTGCACGTTCATCAACTGCTGATTCTACATGCAACTATCTCAAAGACTTTAAACTTGAAGTTTTAGAGTATAAGATTTTAAAAAACGTATGCAGAATGTTTCATCCTGGACAAAATAAAAAATTGACAAGACAGACCTGAAAAAACTGGAGCTGTCTTTCTAGATCCCAGAAGAATGGGTGCTTCAGCACACAGCTGGCAGATGGACGTTTCTGAGGAT